AATCAGTCTAATATAAGATCAGATGCTTAGACATTCAATATCTCAAAAAATTTAGCTTTCATTTACTCCTTTCTCAGGAAACTACTGAAGCTTGTGCTCTCCTTAAATGAGAGAGTAAACCAAGAAAAAAGAAGACATAGGATATAGGACACAGAAGATACAACACAGGAGAAAAATGAACAGAGATGCCCTGACAACTGTGCACTAAGCATAGATTGGTGCAGGTCAGAAAGCTCCAGAAGAGACTCCTTTAGAAAGATGAAACTGGGCTGGGTATGGTGGCTCACACCTGTAATCCTAGCACTCTGGGAGGCAGAGGCAGGAGGATCTCTTGAGGTCAGGAGTTTGAGAAAGATGAAACTGATAGAACACCTCATCTCTCTAAACCTCTGGAGGGGGAAGATTTAAACTGTCATTAAGGAGTTTGGGCTTGACACAGTGATGAATAATAAACCAAAATGAGATTATTATGAATTAGAGGAGAAACAAAAAGCTGTGTAGGAGAAGAGAAGCAATCATAGTTTCCTACTTTCCTAAGATGTGAATAATATTTTCCTAAGATGTGAATAATGAAGTAAACACAGACCCAAAAAAAAGTACAATATAACTATACCAGGCATGTAGAGGGATGGGAAGTATGGGGAAGAAGGGGGAAGGAAGGAGAGCTAAACCTTCATTTTGCATTAAGTTAAGTCAATAGATAATGCCTAAAAGTGAAAAATCAAGAAATAACAATACAAGCACATTTATATAGAGAGATGAAAATAAATACCAAAATGATCACTTAAAAGAAGTGAAATGACAGCTTTTGAGAGGGTAGAAACAGGTAAGGGGAGACGTGGGGATACTAACCCTGCTGTTTCTTTGCAAACCTTACAAAGTTTCTACAGAATTATTTGACTCTAAATCACAGTCATGTATAACTCTGAAAAAAAATTAAAAATAAAATTAAAGAGGCTGGACGCAGTGGCTCATGCCTGTAATCCTAGCACTCTGGGAGGCCGAGGCAGGCAGATTGCTCCGTGTCAGGAGCAATTCAAAACCAGCCTGAGCAAGAGCGAGACCCCGTCTCTACTATAAATAGAAAGAAATTAATTGGCCAACTACTATATATAGAAAAAATTAGCCGGGCATGGTGGTGCATGCCTGTAGTCCCAGCTACTCGGGAGGTTAAAGCAGAAGGATTGCTTGAGCCCAGAGTTTGAGGTTGCTGTGAGCTAGGCTGATGCCATGGCACTCGCTCTAGCCTGGGCAACAAAGCAAGACTCTGTCTCCAAAAAAAAAAAAAAATTAAATTAAAGAAAAAAAAAGATCGCCCTAAACCCAATTTTTGCCTCTGAAAAACTCACTTTCTGGTAAAGGAAATAGACATCGAAATAAATAATTTAAGATTAAGTGTATCAGCTTAACAACAGAAATGTTTGCAATGACTGAAGGAACATAGAGAACAATGAATAGGAGCATGAAGAAAAGCATCAAAGTTGGACAGAATACGAGGCAATAATAGGGATGAAAGAAGAGATAAATTGTGTGTTCCAGGCACTTAGCAATTCATGGTGCTGGTGTGGAGTTAAAAGCAGGATACTGCATTTTATATAATATACATGTTAGGATGGAATTTTAAAGTTGATGAGAACATTCAACTGTTAAATGTTTATTAGAGAAAGTTGGAAGAGGGGAGAGGCTTTGAACTTCTGTGTTATTTTAAGCATAAAAACCAATAAAGAGTTGCCCATTGTGGAAAACAGAAAACTAAAAAATATATGTTTCACTTGGATCTTGTCTAAGGCAGTTTCGGCTGAAGTGTAAAAAAGAGTAAGTTTTGACCATAGACTCAGCTAATGGCCAAAGAAATATGAAAAGTCCTTTCTCTAAATGTGTTTGTGAGGAGTTGGGCCACAATCTCAGAGAAGATTTTTTTAAGAGCAGTTTTAGGTTACACGAAAATTGAAAGGAAGATACGGAGCTTTTCCCCTACCTCCACGTGGACATGCATAACCTTACCTATTATCAACATCCCCCACCAGAGTGGGGCATTTGTTACAATTGAAGAACCTGTATTGACACATCATTATCACCCAGAGACCATAGTTTACATTAGGGTTCACTCTCAATATTGTGCATTCTATGCATTTGGGCAAATGTATAATGTATCCACCATTTGGGGATCATACAGAGTAGTTTTACTGCTCTGAAATTCCTCTGTACTCCATTCATTCATCCCTCCCTCCTTCCTAATGCCTGGAAACCAATTTTATCACTGTTTCTATAGTTTTGCCTGTTTCACAATGTCATATAGTTGGAACCATGTAGTCCATGACCTTTTCAGATTGGTTTCTTTCACTTAGTAATATGGATTTAAGTGTCCTCCATGTCTTTTCATGGCCTGCTAAGCTCATTTCTTTTCTTTTTTTTGAGACAGAGTCTCGCTTTGTTGCACAGGCTAGAGTGAATGCCGTGGCATCAGCCTAGCTCACAGCAACCTCAAACACCTGGGCTCAAGCAATCCTCCTGCCTCAGCCTCCCGAGTAGCTGGGACTACAGGCATGCGCCACCATGCCCGGCTAATTTTTTTCTATATATATTAGTTGGCCAATTAATTTCTTTCTATTTATAGTAGAGACGGAGTCTCACTCTTGCTCAGGGTGGTTTCGAACTCCTGACCTCGAGCAATCCGCCCGCCTCGGCCTCCCAGAGTGCTAGGATTACAGGCGTGAGCCACCTCGCCCGGCCTCTCATTTCTTTTTAGTGCTGAATAATATTCCATTGTCTAGCTATACCACAGTTTATCCATCCACCTACTGAAGGACATCTTAGTTCCTTGTAAGTTTAGGGAGTTATGAATAATGTTGCTGTAAACATCTGTGTGCAGGTTTATATGTGGACATGTTTTCAAGGGAGCTTAAGTCCTGAGTTATATTGTTTAAGAGTATGTTTAGTTTTGTACAAAACCACCAAACTGTCTTCCAAAGTGGCTGTACCATTTTGTATTCCCACAGCAATGAATGAGAGTTCCTGTTGCTCCACATCCTCACCAGCATCTGGTGTTTGCCAATCAAAACAGTGATGAGATACCACTATCTAGGCCAAAATCTAGGACACTGAGAAGATACTTTCTAAAGCATACAAAAATTAAGAGTTTAGGATTGAATTATTACTTCATATGTTGTGGTACAAATATTTGCATTTGCTATCACTGGGATATTAACCAATGAATTTACCGTAGCCCAATGACAAGTGATCTTAAAGAAATAATGCCAGAAAAAAAAATTGAGATACTTAACTGAGGTAAATAATCTCAGAGGAAAGCAGTATAAAACCCCACCACTCTGAGAGAATTATCTATGACTCAGTTGACCAGATGCCCACACTAAATCCACGTTTTAAAACCAAGTCTAGCAGAAATATAAGGACTTGAATAACATTGGTTTTTCACTCAGGGTAGAAGTTTGGTAAAATAGTAGATCTGAAAAACTATTAGGGGCTTGGATTTGGTCAGTAAACGTGTGCTACTCGAAAAGCATGGGAAGAGGAATGAATTTTTTCTTTATACAGAAGCATAAAAACTATGCTGAGTTTTCTTGAAACAGATCCCCCTGGGGAGCTGTCAAGCAGGAAGGATAAGAAGCAGGAAAATGGTGCTTCTGAATCCCCCAATGGAAGGAATCATACACAGACCAATATGGTCCCTGAAGTAACTCCCTTTTCATCATCATTAACTGTGGTAAAAAGGGCCGGGCGCGGTGGCTCACGCCTGTAATCCTAGCACTTTGAGGGGCCGAGGCGGGCATATTGCTCAAGGTCAGGAGTTCGAAACCAGCCTGAGCGAGACCCCGTCTCTACCAAAAGTAGAAAGAAATTAATTGACCAACTGAAAATATATATACCAAAAAAAATTAGCCAGGCTTGGTGGCTCATGCCTGTAGTCCCAGCTACTCAGGAGGCTGAGAAAGTAGGATCGCTTGAGCCCAGGAGTTTGAGGTTGCTGTGAGCCAGGCTGACGCCATGGCACTCACTCTAGCCTGGGCAACAAAGTGAGACTCTGTCTCAAAAAAAAACAAAAAAACTGTGGTAAAAAGAGAAAGGGCCACAACTATGCGGAAGAAATCCTTACTAGGATATAACTACTAGATAATATGTCAATCCCGGCTTTGGACGTCCTAAAGGTCTAAAAGAACTCTTAGAGGCTTGGCAAAACCACCTCTGCCCCACATGCTGGGACCAAGCGCCCACTGCCAGGGAACCCGCGAAGACGCGCCTAGTGGGCGGGGCCTCCCCGCGGCCGGGGCGGGGCGGGCGGCGGGAGCGGGCTCCGCCCGGGGGAGGGGCTGCGGCCGGCGCGTCGCTGCGCCGCACGTGTGCGAGCCCGGCCGCCTGAGCGCCGCGGACCCCGCGCGGGCGCGCCGCCTATGCCTGGCCTTCCTCGCTGCAGGCTCCTCCGAGTGGCCCTCGCCGCCGCCGCCCTCCCGCGCCCCGAGCGCAGCGCCGGCCTCCTCGCCGCCCGGCGCGCACCGCGCCCCCAGGCTCTGGGTAAGTTCGCGCGGCCTCCCCGCGGCCGCCCGGGCTCCGCGGCCCGCCCCGGCCCCAGGGGCCCGCCCGGAGAGGCTGTGCGGACCGGGAAGGCGGCCCGGCAGCGCTCTGAGCCCGCGGCGCCTCCATTCCGGGGAGAGCCCGCGCCCCTCCGCCCGGCCGGTCGTCAGGGTGTCGCGCCCGCGCGCTCTCCCTCTCCCCGCGGCGCTGGCAGCCCCTAGGTCTCCTTCCCGCCCGCCGCCTTTCTTTGCCCCGGACGCTCCCTGAACTCCTTCCCTCCCAGACCGGCCTTTCCCCCAGGCCCTTCACAGCTCCCCCACCGCTCGCCAGTCTCCTGTGGGTCCAGCCCACGTGCTTTCGTGCTTGCAGTCCTGCATCGCCACTCATTGCGAGCCTACTGCGTGCCAGGCAGGCCCTCGGGACTGCTCGTTCGCGTACTTGCCCGGAGCAGGAGCGAACAGCCGGGCGCCGGGAGCCCTCTGCTCGGTGGTAGCCTGGACGTGCGGCTGTGCGGGCTGAAACTCGTCCGCACCGAGTCCTGCGGTCAGCCCTGCAAGAGGGGTTTGAAAGTGGTACACGTCTTCGTCGCCTGCCGAGAAGTAGGGCTGCTGGAGAGTTTCGTTTTTCAAATACTTGGTCCCGTTGTCAGACCACTTCTTTTTCCATTCCAAAAATGTAAATGTAAGATTACTAAGGCTTTTTTGCACCCCAAGCCTCTAATCTGTGAAATAGGTATGCCCTAGTGGCCTTGTGATACTTGATTATTGAGGGATCTGTCGAAAATCAGACTGTACACCCTTTTTGAAAAGGCGATGGATAGGCATTTACCATGTTCAATCATTAGGAAAGTAGCCAACAGTCGTATTGATTAATTTAACAACCCCTTTTGAACATGTATTTTGGTAGAGGCTGGGGGGCAGTGCAAGTGCTGTATTAATGAAACAGCTTTTGTACCCAAATAGGAGAGAGAAATAACAATTCAGCTGCTGTTACAATGACTAAGTTTGCTCCTGCCTCACGTCCTTTACATGTGCTGTTGGGGCTGCCTGGAATTCTCCCCACACACAGCTTTTCTTGTCCGCTTCTTCCTTCATCTTTGCTCAGAAGTTACCTCCTTAGAGAGGCTTCACTAAAGAGCACCCTGCTTACTCTCAATCCCTTTGCTTTATTTTTTTGTAGCTTGCATGTTCTGAGGTTAATTTAATTTTGTTCTCAGGTATACCCTCAAATAGAATGTAAGCTCCACGAGGGCAGGGAATTTTCCCGTTTCCCTCAGTGCCTACAGCAGTGCCAGACACATAGCACTTGCTCAGTAAGTACTTGTGGAATGCACAACTTTGAGATCAGACATCGATTTCGCGTATCAGAATGCAATGTGTGCTCTGCCCCAAGTGCTCTTTAATGTGAGAAGTAGAGAGATTACTGCCGATTTGCAGAGGATGAAGGATAGATGTATTTAAAAAGACCGAGTCGTGCAGAGTTTTGAAATACAGGGTTAAGACTAATGTGGCTCTTTTCGGATGTTCATTTTAGAGGAAATAATGTTAATGGACTGTTGTGAGTGTTGTATTGAAATTTGGAAATGCTAAACTCTACTTTTGTAGGTATAGAGGATTTTAAAAGCTGAGTTCATGAATCTAGTATTTTAATGAAAAGAGTTTAAAAATATAAAAATTGTAATATTTCTATTCTCATTTGGAGTGCAGAGGAAATAAAAACCATTATTTTAGTATTCCCTCCAAAGAAATATGTAGGATTTATATTCATGGGACACTATCAGTGGAGTTTGTTCTATTCTTGGTTGTAGATTCGGGCTTCTGGTCTATAGGGATTTTACTTGACAGTTAAGTCACCATCATTACTATATTAATGTCATGGATAGTATATTTGTGCAGCACATTTCTTTTAAAAAATGTTGTTTAGGCCCGGCTCGGTGGTGGCTCACGCCTGTAATCCTAGCACTCTGGGAGGCCGAGGCGGGCGGATTGCTCGAGGTCAGGAGCTCGAAACCAGCCTGAGCAAAAGCGAGACCCCGTCTCTATTATAAATAGAAAGAAATTAATTGGCCAACTAATATATATAGCAAAAATTAGCTGGGCATGGTGGTGCATGCCTGTAGTCCCAGCTACTCGAGAGGCTGAGGCAGCAGAATTGCTTGAGCCCAGGAGTTTGAGGTTGCTGTGAGCTAGGCTGACACCACCACAGCACTTACTCTAGCCTGGGCAACAAAGCGAGACTCTGGCTCAAAAAAAAAAAAAAAAAAGTTTAATACAATAAAAAACTCATAAAGCTCCCCCCTCCCCTTTAAAGCCAATCCCTTTACGTCTTTAAGATAGAATGTATCTTCGGATTTTCCTTTTGCAAATCTGATTTCCTGAAGCCTCTCCCCTTGGGCTGGTCAGGGTTCTTTTATCTTTCTGTTGAATTCTTTTGGGCCTCTTTCATGTTTACAAGATCACCTCTTTCTCCTCTTCTCCCTGCCCAATTTAAAAATTATATTCCATTTCAGTCTTCTCTTTCCTATAGTTCCTGCTTATGTAATTTGAGTTCTGCCTCTACTAGTCCAGAAGTTTGAACAGCTATTCTAATAAATATGCTCTCAGCTTCTGGGTCTACAGGACAGAACTTAGCAAAGTATATATAAAGTGATTTAAAATCATTGATGCTATATATAAACTTTAATAATTAATGTCTTTGTGACAGGCCATTGATTTAAGTGAAAAATATAATTTTATCTTAAATACAAAAGTGAATTTAGTTAATGAGCTTGTCTTTGCAATTAGATATATCAAGAAAAAGAGATCAGGCTGGGTGGGGTGGCTCTCACCTGTAATCCTAGCCAAGGCAAGAGGATTGCTTGAGGCTGGGAGTTCAAGAGCAGCCTGACCAATACCCTGTCTCTACAAAAAAAATTAGCTGGGCATTGTGGCATGTACCTGTAGTCCCAGCTACTCGGGAGGCTGAGGCAGGAAGATCCCTTAAGTCCAGGAGTTTGAGATTGCAGTGGACTATGATGACTCCAACTGCACTCTAGGCTGGCCAACAGAGCCAGATTCTGTCTCAAAAATAAAAAAAATAAAAAAAAAAAAGAAGGAAAGAAAAAGAGATCAGAGAAGTGTCCACAAATATCAAGAAAAAGACTGCCAATCTAAAGACCTGTTTAATGTAGTGCTGTTGGCAGTGTTTGAGAGTCTCTTAAAATTAAATGGTATTTGAAGGAGAAAACCATGTTTAATGGTTAGCTTAAAAAACAAAAGAAGCCTAAGAAGCTTTTTGTTTTCTTCCCCAGATTCAGCAATACAGTTCTGCTGTGTAAATCATCCAATAAATATTAAGGACTAACAGTTGAATAGGAGGAGCTATTACAGACCTTTGACCAAGTCATCATATTTCAGTTTTACAGAGAAGGAAACTGAGGCTTAGAGAGATTACAGGACTCACTTGGTAAATGGCAAAACCTAGATCTGGCTCCAAGGTTGTCAAGGAGGTGACTTGCATAAGGGGAGATGGACATTCTGCTGACCATAAAGTCCCTAAGTGAAGCTTTATGCATGGCTATTATCAGCCACACTTTCCTTCCTGCTGAGCGTCTGGCCTCTGGAAGGGTATTAGGATCTCCTGGTAGATCCTGTGATGCCAGTCAGGGACCTTATATAGTCACTGGGGAGCCATTGCAGGTTTTTTGGTAGGGGTATGTGGTAACTGTCTACAGTATATATCTACTTGGGTGTTCCCTACGTACCTGCAACACCACGAGACTATTGGTGTGCTCATCTTCTCCCACTACCTGCTCCTCTTTCTGAGCCCTCCATATCAGGAAGGGCTGCACTGTCCTCTTAGGTCCCCAAGGCAGGAAACTCAGGCATCCAGCAATATTTCCTCTTTCCTCCCGTATTTGTCACCCAGTCCGGTCCCTACCGTTTCCTAAATGTTCTCAAATGTTCCCTCCATTCTGTCTCCTTTGCTTAATCCTTAGATCAGGGTGCACTAATGTCTTGCCTGGATTAAAGCTGTACCCTCTTACCGGTCTTCTAGCCTAATTCTAGGTCCTCATCAAAGGGGTGCCACAAAATATTTCTAGCTCATGGCCAGGCGCGGTGGCTCACGCCTGTAATCCTAGCACTCTGGGAGGCCGAGGCAGGCGGATTGCTCCAGGTCAGGAGTTCAAAACTAGCCTGAGCAAGAGCAAGACCCCATCTCTACTATAAATAGAAAGAAATTAACTGGCCAACTAACATATATATAGAAAAAATTAGCTGGGCATGGTGGCGCGTGCCTGTAGTCCCAGCCACTCGGGAGGCTGAGGCAGTAGGATTGCTTGAGCCCAGGAGTTTGAGGTTGCTGTGAGCTAGGCTGACGGCCACAGCACTCACTCTAGCCTGGGCAACAAAGCGAGACTCTGTCTCAAAAAATATATATATATTTCTAGCTCACGAATCCATTGGTGGTTTGGTTTTTCAGGATGAAATTCCCTCTATTTAGCCTGGTGTTGCTTCTGCCATCTCCCCACTCCAGACTCCACCCTCTCTTTATGTGTCTCACCCTCCACAATGGGTGATGAGCTCCTGCGGTTCTTCCAGCGCTCCATGCTCTCCCAGGCCTTTGCACATGCTGTACCCTCACCCGAAACACCCTTCTCCCCCTTTTCCTTGGTCCTTGGTCCTCTTCCCTGATCATCAAAACTTGGCTCAGGTGTTGTAGTCTTTGTTAGGTGTTCTCTAACACTGTCACCTCACCCCTTTGATGTCTTCCGTGTATTCCTGTCGTTCCTGTGTAAGCCCTGGTCCCTTTTTATCCCCTTCACCTGTCCAAAAGCTCTAAGGGCAGCTTTGTTGCTATCAAGTGAGAAATCACATCAGCATGTCATAAACCAGCATTCTTTTTCAACTACACCTGCTCAAGACAAAGAATAAATGCTTTCTTATTTGAATTAGAGATACTTTCTATAACTGCAGTAGTTGTGATCTACTTGTATTTCAGATTCTTAGTTTCTTCCATTTTCTGTATTTAAATTTTTGTCTTTCAAAGGCAATTGATTTTACTGACATTTTTCTTTTTCTTTCTTTTTTGTTTTTAATGAAAGTTTATTCTTAAATGTACAATAGGCTCCAAGACAACACTTTATTTTAGCTGTAGATGGCAAAAGATGGTATGGCAGGGAATACAGATGTTTAAATAAGGATGGAATCAAGGGTCACCATAGCTTCAGATACAAGAAACAGTTTACCTTTTGCCAGATTGCTTAAACTCCACCTGTGGCCAGGGGCCCCTTTTCCATTGGCTTTTAGCTCCTGGAGTTTCTTCTTCTCTTTGTGTTTTTGCTTGAAAGCCGCATCTTCTTAGCCCGTCTCCTTGGCCTGCTGCTTGGGCTGTTTCGGGGCCGCCTTCTTGTCTCTTATGGGCCACATGAGCATACTCGGCCTGGACGCAGCCCTGTCATCCGGCACAATTATCCTCCCACAATAAATCCATTTTTGCTTGTACTTTTTACGTGTACTTCTCTTTTACTTTCCTTTTTCTTCTTGATTTTTGACAGTGAGGCAAGATCAAATATGGATTCTTAAAATTTAGTTCGTCATTATTCTTATTTTGCTGTAGATGCAAGTGTAGGTGGGTTTCTTGTGAACCAGGCCTTGGAGAACTAGAATATTCATTTTCTGCTCATTTACATTCTTTATAGATATGTTTACAAAGTTACTTACTATGTTAACTTTAGCATCTCCTGTATAATTAATATAGAAAAAGCTTTTATCTGTATTTCACTAAGAGCATCAAGTAAGGTCACATTAGATAAGGCACTTGAGGTTGTGGATGCTATAGTGTGTGGTTGGTTGGTTGGTTGGTTGTTTTTAAGATAGGGTCTCAGCCAGCTGTGGTGGCTCACGCCTGTAATCCTGGCATTTTGGGAGGCCAGGGCAGGCGGATTGCTTGAGGTCAGGAGTTCGTAACCAGCCTGAGTGAGACCCTCGTCTCTACTAAAAATAGAAAGAAATTAATTGACCAACTAAAAATATATATACAAAAAATTAGCTGGGCATGGTGGCGCATGCCTGCAATCCCAGCTACTTGGGAGGCTGAGGCAGTAGGATTGTTTGAGCCCAGGAGATTGAGGTTGCTGTGAGCTAGGCTGATGCCACAGCACTCATTCTAGCCTGGGCAACAAAGTGAGACCCTGTCTCAATAAAAAAAGATAGGATCTTACTCTGTTACCTGGGGGCTAGAGTTCAGTGGCATGATCGTAGCTCACTGCAACCTCGAACTCCTGGGGCTCAAGTGATCCTCCTGCTTGAGCCTCCCCAGTAGCTAGGACTACAGTAGATGCTACCATGCTTGGCTAATTTTTCTATTTTTTGTAGAGATAGGGTCTCACCTTGCTCAAGTTGGTCTTGAACGCCTGGCCTCAAACAATCCTCCTGTCTCAGCCTCCCAAAGCCCTGTATTTATTTTGATCCATATGTTTATCCCCTCTCCAGCTGCTATATACTGAGAAAGTATGGTTTCAAACTCCTGACCTCGAGCAATCCGCCCACCTTGGCCTCACAGTTGCTGGGATTACAGGCGTGAGCCACCATGCCCGGCCCAAAATGTGTTGCCCAACCTAGAGTGTGGTGGCTATTGATAGGTGCAATCATAGCTCACTGCAACCTCAAACTTCTGGGCTCAAGCAATCCTCCCACCTCAGCCTCCCGAGTAGCTGGAATTATAGGTATGTGCCACCATACTGAGCTAATATTTAAATTTTTTTTAGAGGTAGGGTTTCACTTTGTTGCCCAGGCTGGTCTCCAGCTCCTGATCTCAAGCAATCTTCCCACCTCAGTCTCTAAAAGTGCTAGGATTATAGGTGTGAGCCACTACACTTAGGCCCCCCAACCCCCCCTTTTTTTTACTATGGTTTGGGTAAATGTAGTTATATGATGTTTTATTTAATCAGTTTTTCAAAAGGGTGATACATATATATGAAACAAAATTCAAATTATACAACTATGGTATTGAGTGAAAATAGCAAGTCTCCTACTACTGTCCCCAGCCACCAAGACTCTCTCCTAGAAGAAACCGTATTTCCCAGTCAGCTGTTCCTGCATATTGTTCAGTTTATGTACCCATAATTTGTTATGTACCTGTAATTTTCTTACTAATATAAAAATGCTGAGATGAGTATCTTTAGAGCTAAAACTGTAAGTACTTTCTTAATTATGTTCATAAGATAAATTCCTAAAAGTGGAATTCTGGGTCAAAGAGCATACCTTTTTTTTTTTTTTTTTTTTTTTTTTTTTTTAGACAGAGTCTCGCTTTGTATATGCCCCTAGAATGAGACTATTATACTGACTTGTTTCAGAGGCTCCAGTGATCCTTCTGCCTCAGCCTCCCGGGTAGCTGGGACTACAGGCATGCGCCACCATGCCCGGCTAATTTTTTTATATATATATCAGTTGGCCAATTAATTTCTTTCTATTTATAGTAGAGACGGGGTCTCGCTCTTGCTCAGGCTGGTTTCGAACTCCTGACCTTGAGCAATCCGCCCGCCTCGGCCTCCCAAGAGCTAGGATTACAGGCGTGAGCCACAGCGCCCGGCCAAGAGCATACCTTTTTTTTTTTTTTTTTTTTTGAGACAGAGTCTTGGTCTGTTGCCTGGTCAAGTTCCATGGCATCAGCCTAGCTCACAGCCACCTCAAACTCCTGGGCTCAAGCAATCCTACTGCCTCAGCCTCCTGAGTAACTGGGACTATAGGCATTTGCCACCATGCCCTGCTAGTTCTTTTTTACATATATATTTGTAGTTGTCCAGCTAATTTCTTTCTATTTTTTTTAGTAGAGACGGGAACTTGCTCTTGCTCAGGCTGGTCTCGAACTCCTGAGGTCAAACGATCCTTCTGCCTCGACCTCCCAGAGTGCTAGAGCCACCACACCTGGCAAAGAGCATACATTTTTAAGGTTTTTGATGCACATTGTTAAATTCCATGCAAAAGTGTTGTGTCAGCTTTCTATCCAACCAAAAGTATATGCCAGCATCAGGAAAAATTATTTTAATAAATGATTTTTAGGACTCTATAAACAAAGCTAACTATGCCTCTGTTTGCTGAAACCGACTTCTTTATGGGTTATTGTTACATCCTACTTTTTCCTCCTTCCTAAAAGGTTCTCTTAAATGTTTTCTTGGAGCCTTAAAAATGGAGATGACAGACATGACTAGTGTGTCACTGAAACGTGGGTCCCTTGTTGTGGAAGATCATGACAGTGGGGTCCCAGCTGAGGAGACAAAAAAACAGAAGATGTCAGAATGCAGTCCCACCAAAAGTCTTCACAGGCTGGGGAATGACTCTCTACCCAACAGTGAAGATGTGCGTCGGGCTCCTGAAGCTGTAAGTGTTGGGAAAGATGAAAAGAATTGTGAGGCTCAGTTTGAAGAAGAGGAAGAGGAGGAGGAAGATGGCCTTTCAGAGGAGGAGGAGGAGGAGGAAGAAGCAGAGAGCTTTGCAGACATGATGAAGCACGGACTCACCGAACTTGATGTGGGCATCACCAAGTTCGTAAGTCCTCATCAAGGGTTCTCAGGAATCTTAAAAGAAAGGTTTGTTTAGTTTATATGTGAAGTTATTTTGATTGTATTAGGTTTTTTTATCTTTACAAAGACATCAGCAGGATATTCTTCCACTTAGCTTTCTATTACCAAGGAAATGATAAAATGGTAAATGGTAAAAAAATAATTTTTGTCTACACTGATATTAAAAAAAAATAAGATAAAGAAGAGCTGCCTGAATGATTAAATGGATGAGTCTTGGATTTTTTAATATTTTAAAATAAATAGAAGTCATCCTTAGTTCTTATCAAGGGAAGATCCTTCTCAGAATTGTTTAAGTAAAAATAATTTCTCAGTGGCATACATTTGTTATTATGTGGATGGGTGCTGCTCATTTTGTTAAAATAAATTCGTTTCATTGGTTTTTATTAATTTACATGGTTTCAAGTTTTCTCTAGAATTTGTTGTATAACCTTAAACTCTTTCACCTTAAACTCTTGCATCTATGGTAGAAAGTGGTCTTTGGAGCCAGGTGCGAATCCAGGTTAGCCACTTAATATAATAGTTACTTAACTCTTCTGAACCTCAGTATTCTTATCCAAAAAATGGATTATAGCACCAAATTGGGGTTGTTGAGAGAATTTTAAATAATACCTGTAAAATATTTAACATAAAGATAAACTTCAGGGTAGTTCATGGTAGACTTACTGGGTTCCGATTTAATTAACTGTTTACTGTATTTTATGATTCAGTTTAGTCAATTTAGACTGTATAATCACAGGGTAATGTTAATAAGCTTTTGTTTATATATTTCTCTGGAATATTCTAGAAGCTCAGAGGGTCTTTTAGGTCTCATATAAAACTTGATACAAGGTGTGGCTCAACATTCATTAAGAAACCAGAAAAGAGGCTGGGCGTGGTGGCTCACGCCTGTAATCCTAGCACTCTAGGAGGCCAAGGTGGGCAGATTGCTTAAGGGCAGGAGTTCAAAACCAGCCTAAGCAAGAGCGAGACCCCGTCTCTATTATAAATAGAAAGAAATTAATTGGCCAACTAATATATATAGAAAAAATTAGCCGGGCATGGTGGTGGCGCATGCCTGTAGTACCACCCACTTAGGAGGCTGAGGCAGTAGGATTGCTTGAGCCCAGGAGTTTGAGGTTGCTGTGAGCTAGGCTGACGCCAGGGCACTCACTCTAGCTTGGGCAACAAAGCGAGACTCTGTCTCAAAAAAAAAAAAAGAAAGAAAGAAACCAGAAAAGATAACTCAGTGATTTTGCATTGGAGACTTTTTTTTTTAATTCCTTGTTTTACACAATAGTAAGGCTTATTATTGATAAACTTTATTTAATTAATAGGAAACAATATGTTAATTCTCTGAAAGTTCACGTTTTCTTTTCATCAGATACTCCGACTTCGTTGTTCATGAGATAGGAAAAGATGGACGGATCAGCCATTTGGATGACTTATCTGTTCCAGTGGATGAGGAGGTAGCTCTCTAGCAAAAGTCATCTTCTGTATAAAAACAGCATTTCCTAGAGATCATAGAAATATATAGCTTTAATAGTCTTGAATTCTGTATATGATTCACTGTGAATTCTCACAATTATTTTAAAGGACCCTTCAGAAGATGCATTTACAGTTTTGACAGCTGAAGAAAAGCAGCGATTGGAAGAGCTCCAGCTTTTTAAAAATAAAGAAACCAGTGTTGCCATCGAGGTAAATGTTCCAAAAATATATGAAAAGATTTTTAGGGTTTTCATTGCTTTATTTTGGGTGATGTTACTGAGTGTCTATTGAAAAAAATTACAGTGGTTACCAAAAGGGTAACCTTGTCCTGTTGAATCTAAAAGGGCATCACAGTAAAGAATGTTTTCATCAGGGGCAGGTAGCTAGTATCCCAGATAAAACTATGGTACAAAAAAAGTTACTTTGTTTTTTCTGTGTTTTTTTTTTGAGACGGAGTCTCGCTTTGTTGCCCAGGCTAGAGTGAGTGCCATGGCGTCAGCCTAGCTCACAGCAACCTCAAACTCCTGGGCTCAAGCAATCCTTCTGCCTCAGCCTCCCAAGTAGCTGGGACTACAGGCATGTGCCACCATGCCTGGCTAATTTTTTTTCTCTATATATTAGTTGGCCAATTAATTTTCTTTCTATTTATAGTAGAGACGGGGTCTCTCTCTTGCTCAGGCTGGTTTCAAACTCCTGACCTCGAGCAATCTGCCCACCTCGGCCTCCCAGAGTGCTAGGATTACAGGTGTGAGCCACGGGGCCTGGCCACATTTTTTGTTTTGTTAAAGTTTTGTCAAGTTTAGGCCAGGTACAGTGGCTCACCCCTGTAATCATAGCACTGTGGGAGGATTGAGGCCAGGAGTTCGAGACCAGCCTGAGCAAGAGTGAGACCCTGTCTCTACAAAAAAATAGAAAAATTAGCTGGACATGGGGGCAGGAGCCTGTAGTCCTAGCTACTTGGGAGCTGAGGTAGGAGAATCATTTGAGGCCAGGAGTTTGATGTTACAGTGAGCTATGATCACACCACTGCACTCTAGCCCATGAGTCTTGAAAAATGAAAAATATTATCAAGTTTAGGCAGTAGCAGTTGTTGTATATCTTGATGTTTTCAGCTTGTAGGTTGCAACCCATGAGATCAATTTAGGGGGTCTCAACCAGGATTTTTTGATGGAAAAAAATAAAATAGAAAATATTTGTGCTTTGCACATTATAAGCGTATATTTTTGTGAACCTTCTTTCAATATTTTTAATCAGGCCATATGCACACACATTTGTGGTTGTTGAGTAAAGAGGTAAATGTAAAGACGTAAATGAGTTTCTTAGTGTGAGACACACTTGAAAACTGAAACGGTCATGTAACTAACAAGTCTCCATTTTTTTATGTTGATTTTTCTTTATTGTGAACCAACTACTAGAACCTCACTATAAAAGAATTTGTATAGAATAGAATTCAGTATGAGGCAGTTATGGATAGATTGAACTGTTGGAAGGATTGAGTTTCTGGCACACCAAAGGCCCGGCTTGCCTGCATTGCCACATGTGAGCTCTGAGGTGTTTGTCCAGCAGAGAGCATGAGGGAGCATCTGTGATAGTGGCTCCAGGGCCAGACAGTCTGGATTTCAGATCAGCTCTACCACCCTCCAGCTGTATAACCTTAGACACGTTTCTTAACGTCTCCCGGCCTCATTCTCCTCATCTCTAAAGGGCAATCGTGGTATGACAGGGCGATGAGTAGGATTAAATAAAGTGATGAATGAACGGGCAGTGCTTGATGCAGTGCCTGGTAGATGGACATGTTCGATTAGCAGGCTCCTAGGAATTTGCAGTATTGTGAAGCTCTAAAATATTTCTGAAATCATACACAGGCACTTTTGTTATTTCACATAGTTAAGCAGTGTTTTTTACTGAGCAGTGTTTTTACTGATTCACTGTGTTGCTTCCCTATTTAATGTTTGTTAAGTTAGTGGTGTTGCTATCTGTGTTTTCAATAGGTTATTGAGGACACCAAAGAGAAAAGAACCGTCATCCATCAAGCTATCAAATCTCTGTTTCCAGGATTAGAGACAAAAACAGAGGATAGAGAGGGGAAGAAATACATTGTAGCATACCATGCAGCTGGAAGAAAGGCTTTGGCAAGTAAGTGTGTGAGTGGCCAGCTTTGTCCTTCAGATGGCCCGGAGAAGCAGACCCTGCTCCTCAATCACCTGTGCATGCTCAAGGGCTACTTTGCTGTTGTTCATAGAAGGGTATTGATCATGTCACTCCTTCAGAGAAAGGTGAATATTGTTTCAGATGCCAGCACAGTCCTGCAGCCTGCCTGTCTAGTAGGGGGCATTAGGTCTTTTATCTGAGTAAAGATTTGCTGAAATAATGTGGACCTAAGAGGGAGAGAGAGCCTTAGGAATTTGGTATGTTCCCTGAAGAGCTGAGTGGCAGTTCAAGAAAATGGAAGGGTTATTGCTCACTCTGTGTTCTTTTTTTTTTGAGACAGAGTCTCGCTTTGTTGCCCAGGCTAGAGTGAGTGCCCTGGCGTCAGCCTAGCTCACAGCAACCTCAAACTCCTGGGCTCAAGTGATCCTTCTGTCTCAGCCTCCCGGGTAGCTGGGACTACAGGCATGCACCACCATGCCCGGCTAATTTTCTATATATATCAGTTGGCCAATTAATTTCTTTCTATTTATAGTAGAGACGGGGTCTCGCTCTTGCTCAGGCTGGTTTTGAACTCCTGACCTTGAGCAATCCGCCCGCCTCGGCCTCCCAAGAGCTAGGATTACAGGCGTGAGCCACAGCGCCCGGCCTCACTCTGTGTTCTTAATGGAGGAAAGAAAGCTTTCAAATGAACAAAAAATGCTTGTCACCTATCCCAGTGGCATATTTCCTGCAAGATCCCTTTATTGAAAGAGTTGCTGCTTTCCAACTGTGAGTAACTTCTTCAGTTGCACATAAAAGAAATGAGATCGATGGAAAGACTCCCCTTTGTCTTTGCCCATCTTCATTGTGTATCATTCATTTGAAATGGGTGTACAGTGAACCACTTTGATACTTACCTTCTAATGTGTTTTCTACAGCCATGAAAACCTCTTTGGATATAACCTTTAAGAAAAATTAAGTGACTTTTTTCTTTTACCTATGAGATCAGCAGATAAAATCTTAATGAAAATTACAACAGGAAAAAGTTATTTCCTTACCCTCCTCCCTACCAGTGTTGGCCCCTATTAATGAAGTTATTTCTAGATACATTTGTCAGAGCAGAACTTGCCAAGACTATGTAACAAAAGACTGTCAATTATTAGAGCTTTGTCAGTATTCTCTTAGGTTAATTTAAAAGATAATACTGTGAATGAATGAAGCTTAATGGTTTATAACCACATTTTTCTGAAATAAGAGGGTATAAGAAAAAAGGGAACAGAAATAAAGTTTATGCCTGAGGAAATAATCTAGTCAAATCAACAAGTCTGCATATTGATAGAGAAAATGAGAAACTGAGCAGTTGGGGAGGAGGAAGAGATCTGAAGTCAGTTCTCAGTGGATACTAAAAGGAACATGGGGGTGGTATGTTCTGGAACTGCTTGGGGTACAAGTTGTTAATCACATTTCAATCTGCAAACTAATGGTGTGGTTACTATATGTTCCTCTATTGTCTGGGTCACAGTATAAAATATCACCTTAGCAGGCTTTCTTCTGTCAAGGTCGCTCCAGAGAGGTAAGCCCAGTGGAAAATGACTTGCTCAGCTGTTCCCCAGGATGGTATATAGCTAGTACCTATTCTGGATATAGAGAAGAGAAGGTGATTTCTACATATTGTGATGCCTCAGGGTATTTGGTCTTCATTCTTTCAAAGAACCCAGTTGGGAAGGCTGCCAGGGTCTTGTCCTGCTTGGTGTGGTAATAAGGAAGCAGATTGGAAAAAGCAAAAACTATATTTTTTTGACTGGTTGCTTCTCAGAAGCAATCATCATTTCCTAGAAGATGCTAGGTTTTATGAGGGGAGGGAGGGCATTCATAGGTCATTCCCTTTTTTTTGAGTTTTTTTTTACCCTTTTCCTTCTTTAAGTGACCATTGCCAAATTTCTTATATTCTGTTTTTATCCACATTTCTCTGCTTAGGCCATTCTCACTTTTCATTTTTTTTCAATACAAAATTTCCTTAAGATTTTCCAAATATTTCACTGAGCTGTGTGATGTGAGCTACTCTTCCCCATCTCCCTTTGGACGTGTTCAGTAAAATGTTAATTTCTCACTTCAAAAAGAGGCATGAAGGCAGGTCAGGTTGGATCAACCCTTGCATAGAGCTCCACACCTCTTGGGCTTGCAGTGTTGTGGCATTCAAAGATGGACTGAATTTCTGCCATCTGAGCTGATCCCTCCCAGCTCCTCACAGAAGGTGGTTCCCCAGCCCAGACAAGCGCCTGGGAACTTGCATTCATCTTTTACAGACCCAGTTCCCCCACACGCTGAGAGTGGGCTGAAGTAAATGCCCTGGGAAAGGAAGGGCAGCTGGTATCTGGAGTTTGTTGTTCTTGGCCCTATGAATAGAGTACACTACGAAAGACAGTTTGTCCTCCTGGGCCCCCTTACAGTGAATTAGCTTTTAAAGCATTATTGCAAAGCTTTGCAATTTATAATGTTTTTAAGCTTTTTTTTACTACCAAAGCCTGATATAAATTGTTATTGATGGTTTATGCATTATCTAGCAGATTTGTAATATTCATAGCCTAAACTTTCTCCAGTAGAACTGTAGATCCTAAAACATAGATGTGGTAGATTGCTAAATCATGGTGCTCTAAATTACCAACTGTTTAAACTCAGACATTATTTTGTATGTTTAGTCGGTTTGACAGGGCACATTGCTGTACCTATCAAAGCATACATATGGTATTTTTCTGAAAATACCATGTAGCTATTACAGCATTACATAAGCAGGTAAATTAATTTGTATTTTGAGGTAGCTAGTATATATTCCAAATGCCTCTAAGAACTTGTTTTTAAAGGCTTATGTAAAAAAAAAATCTGCCATGTGAGATGTACAGGTTCTCTGTACTTTCTGAAAATGAATGGTTCCTAGGAGGTGTCCCTGGATCTAGGGGTCCACAGAGACTCGGGAGGGGGAGCCAGACAGTACACAGAAGCTCTCTGGGAGAGACTGGTGTTAGGGAATCCACAGGAATAGGGAATCTCAATAATCAGAGTGCTCAGCACTGGAAAGTGCTACAGAGAGGTCCAGCAAGATAAGAAATCTCTGAAATCTATCCTTCAGTTTAGCAATGTGGAAATCAATATTATCTTTTTCCCAGAGCAGTTTTAGTGGAATGATGAGACTGGAAACCAGTTTACACAGCAACTGTGATGGAAGGTAGTATATATAAACTGCTCTTTCAGATAAGCTGCAAAGACAAGGAGAAGGGAAGGGAACATGGTTAAGGAGAGGAGAACATAGGTGTGGCTTTTAAGATGGATGTGTTGTGAGGTATTTGTATATTGAAGGGAGGGAGCCAGTGAAGAGGGAGGGTGCACATTCAAGGAGTAGAGTAATAAAATAAAGATAATGGAAGGAGCAGGATGTCTGAGGAAGCCAAAAGGTTGACATGTTGGGGTGCGGCTGTGGGAATGACCTTGAATAAGAAGGAAAGAATGTTCCACATGCTCTCCCATCCTGTCATCTTTCTCAAGCTATTAACATTTTTCCTTATTCATGGGGAACTCTGTGCTCAATACATGGATCTTCCTGAACTGGGTTTCCGTTTTATCTGGTTTCTATTTCTATCAGACTGACATGTCAGACCCACAGCAGGTAGAAGCAACCTTTTGCAAATAGGAACCATATTACCCAGCCTGAGAATTCTTTGCATTTGCATTATAAATCAGAATGTATAAAAAATGTCTTGTAGGTTATTTTAAATTCACTTAAATTGTTAAGCTAAGTATATGCTGCTTAGGGATTAGAGTTTTTTAAAGTCAAACAACTTGCCCAAAGTAAGTTAAGACTCATTGATTTTCTGTTATTCAGAATATTCCCAGTAAATGCATATGCTTACTATTTTGTATATTGAGTGCACCTAGAAAAAGAATCCACACTTCTATCTGTTATTTGCAGAGGAGATAATGTATGCATGCTCAGTGCTTGGATTTGCTAATAGAAGATGCATGCTTATGAGCCAAAACTCATACTCGGTTGTCATGGTTTCTCTTAAGGTTTAACAGCATTTCGTTTTCTTGTGGCTTGATTTATTTCTTGCCATTATACTTAATTGTGAATGCACTGAAGGGATTGTTAAGAAAAAGTGTAGCTACACTTCATCAACTTTTATCACAAGTGTTTTTTTTGTTTTTTTTTATAAAAATATGGGTTCTTAGGCCAGGCGCGGTGGCTCATGCCTATAATCCTAGCACTCTGGGAGGCCAAGGCAGGCGGATCGCTCGAGGTCAGGAGTTTGAAACCACCCTGAGCAAGAGTGAGACCCCGTCTGTACTATAAATAGAAAGAAATTAATTGACCATCTGATATATATAGAAAAAATTAGCCGGGCATGGTGGCGCATGCCTGTAGTCCCAGCTACTGGGGAGGCTGAGGCAGGAGGATTGCTTGAGCCCAGGAATTTGAGGTTGCTGTGAGCGAGGATGATGCCAGGGCACTCACTCTAGCCTGGGCAATTAAGCGAGACTCTGTCTCAAAAAAAAAAAAAATATATATATATATATATAGGTTCTTGCTCTTGGTCAGGCTGGTCTCGAACTCCTGAGCTCAAGGGATCCTCCTGCCTCAGCCTCCTAGAGTGCTAGGATTGCAATCATGAGCCACCGCACCCGGCCCCACAAGTGTTTTTAAAAACTTCATTTGGACATTTTCAAGCGTGCACACAAATAGAGAAGTAGTATATGGAACCCTTATGTACCCATAAACCATCTTCAAGATTAGCAACATTCTATTGTTTCTGTTTAATCTCTCCCTCCCACTTTTGTTTTCTTGTTGGGGCATTTTTAAAGCAAATTCTATGTAACACATCACTTCACTCATAAATACTTCAGTATGTATTTACCAGATAAGGACTAAAACCTCAAACTATTATTATTACATCCAACAAAATCAGTAATAATTTCTTCATATATAATACCCATTGTACATCCAGTTTTTCTCTACCTCAAAATGTCTCTTACATACAGATAGTTTGTTAAAGTAAATAATAAAAAACAAGGTCAGAGCACTGCACTCATGGACAAGTCTCTAAATCATCTCTTAAATCTCTTTTAATCTATAAATTAAAGAATTTTGATAACTTTTCTATAATCTACATTTTTTAAATAAAAAATCTTTATAATTCAATGCAGGAAAACTCACAAAACACAGAAAAGCACAAAGCAAAGCAATAAATACAGTCTCGCTACCAAAACATAATCAAAAATGGCATTTTGGTATGTGTCTTCCCATATTGAAGAAAACAAGTCTTCTGGATGGGGAAGCAATGGTGTTTTAGTCTTAAACCTTTTACTACATCCCATGGGTACAGACCATGCAGCTTTGAGCATGAACTGACATGCCCATTGTGAAGGGATTGAGAACAGGGAGGCTGTACCTGTAGGTGAGTTTTCTACTTGTTCACTGTTTGCCTCTACAACATTCCATTGTTCATGTCTAAGTAAGTGGCTGTTAACCCACCACATAGCTACCAGGTGCTGTAGAAGTCCTCGGTATAAACCTACCATGCCATCATTTGCATGTTCACCTCTAAAGCACTTTAATATTATAAATTAAACATTGCTCTCTTGTGCTCTTCATGCTGTGCACTTGGACAGAGGTCAGAACTGCAGCAGGTAAGAGCGCTTGGCATTTCATGTAGAGAAAGTGAAATGCCAGTGATTTTGTCACAAGTGCTAAGTATAGACAACTTTACTTAACTGATAGTAAGCTGGAAGGAAAACCAAATATGTTATTTCTACTCAACAATATTCTAAAGAAATTGTGAGGAATTCACACCAAGAGCTAAAGAAATACTTGTAATAGCTTTCTGTCCAAGACAGAAAAGACTCACATGTTAATCAGGAAGGAAAAGTGATTCACTAGGCATATATGCTATGGCAGTTTTCTAAGATGGTTTACTGATTCTTTTGTTCTTTACATTGTAGCTTAAATCACTAACCTATCAGGCAGTGCTTTTGCCCTAACAAAGCCAGATATCAAAGTAACTTCAGTACCAGTAATATCTTAAGCCTCTAAAGGTAAAGGATTCATGAATTCATGCAAAAGCATTATTTTAGGGACGAAGACAAAGGAACGTTTTTAAACGTAGAGGACTCTTTCTAGAGATTGTATGAAATATTTTTTCATAGGTTTTCTTTCATGGAGTTAGAGTAATCAAGTAAACTAGCATGTTCAAATAACAACTGCAGTTCTATATCACACAAGACTCACGAATATTGTACAGTGTCTGTAAAGTACAGTTTTGGCTTACATATTTTTCTCAGAAATACTGATTTTTCAGGACTTTCTTTGAGCAGCTTAAATCTGAATCATATTGTTTGAATAAATGTTTTTAGATTATAGTGTAATTGAAATGTTCAATTAAAAGAACAGTTTTAAAAATTAGGTTCTCCAAGGTCATGCAATGTCTGTCGATCTCCAAAAGAGTTGAACAATTGAAGTAACACTAGCTCTGAAGTTAGCATTTAACCCGGCTTAATTTTTAGTGCCCCCCCCCCCCAGTGACAATCTGGTCTTGAATGCCAGCTACTCTCCCTCCATCAGGTAGACATTAGCCAAACTTTTGTGATGGAAATAGCCTTTAGAAAAAAAATCTAATCTTGTCACTGAGGCAACTCCTCACAAGCTTTGCCCAACAGCCCCACTGCCACCATAAGGCATCCAGCCTGTGTGTGCGTGAACACCTGACTGTGGATATAAAGCAAGCCTTGTAGATTCCGAACTAATTGCTGTTTCCTTCTGGACTGCGCGTGTTCCAGAGAGCTAGTCAGCCCACCTGTCGGACACATGCTGCCAAAGTAACACGGCTGGGGGGCGGTGGGCCTCCCCCATGCCCTTCCTGTGTGAAGACTGCTGGTTAGTCTGAGTCACTTTCACACCACTTGCATTTTAGCTTTTGATTTTAAATACTGACAGAAGATGTTAAGCATCCAATCACAGGAAGTTTAATGCCTATAGTCCACATACTGTAACCACCTAACCTGTATTTCCTGTTAGACTAGATCTGATTTCTCACTGGAAGGGTCTACAGTGAAAAATAAGCTCTGAAGGGTTTCATAAGAAAAAGCTCAAATAACTTTTAGTGTGGTAACTTTTATAACTTTTATGTTTCCTTTTTTGTTTTTTAAGATCCAAGAAAACATTCTTGGCCAAAATCTAGGGGAAGTTACTGCCATTTTGTACTATACAAGGAAAACAAAGACACCATGGATGCTATTAATGTACTCTCCAAATATTTAAGGTTAGTATCTTGTCCTTATGCTCAAAAAATCGAACAACAGGAATGTATTTCCTCTTACCACAATAATGGAAAAAGGAGCAGGGCCATAAATCATAGATAGCAGATGTGTTTCCCAAAGATAGTTTTCTTAGGCAATAGGTGACTTAATTTTCTTTGATGCCCATGCATATTGCCAATAATTCAGGGTGAAAATTCTGTTAGTAAATATTTCACAGTTGAGAGTTACCAATCCATCTGGCTGAAAATAAAAATTAGCTTTCTCCCAAAAAAGGCTATACTTTGATGTCCTTGCAAAGGTTGGCTGTACCAAATGGGGAGCTCTCAAATCCTAGAGGCTGACAAAATGGAAAACCTGAGACCAGTCAGATTTTCTCACAGAAATGCAAATATAGCAAAGATTGGATCTCTGAGGGTGGGCAAGGTACGGAAGCATTTTTAAAAAATAGAAATGGTTACAGGCACTACAGCAAATCTGTATGCTATGGAAATTTGCTTTCTAATATATATTTAACTTAGTTTAAATATGGTAACACAGTGTATTACTTTGCTAGGACTGCTGTAACACAATAAGTCACAGACTGAATGGCTTAAACAACAGAAATTAATTTTTTTATATTTCTAGAGGCTAGAAGTCCCAAGGTCAAGGTTTGGGTTTTTTTAGAGGCTTCTCTCTTTGGCTTGCAGGTGGCTGCCTTCTCACTGTGTCCTCACATGGCTGTTCCTCTGTGCACACACACTTCTGGTGTCTTTGTGTGTCCTAATCTCTTCTCGTCAGATTGGATTAGGGCCCACCCTAAAAGACCTCATTTTAACTTAATGCCCCTTTAAAGGCCCTGTCTCCAAATACAGTTACATCCTGAGGTACTGAGAGCCAGAACTTCAACATATGAATTTTTGGGGGATATAATTCGGCCCATAATACGTGGTATCCGATTAAGTAACATTGTTTTTTGCTCTATTTATTAGCTCTGTGGGAGAGAGTCTCTGGTACCCTATCTGTAAACTGAGCCAAGGAGGATAGACCGTTCCTGACAGGGGAACAGACAGTAGGGGAAGAAGTTCCTCTGAGATCTGGAGTTGAGGATTGCTTGAGTTCAAGAAATCCTTCCTATTTTTTCCTTTTCATATGGAGTAGTTAAGTTTATAAAATATATCTTAGTTAACTAGCTTACTTGTATCTTCATATTAAAACTATTCAGATCCCTGGTTTAGCACTTGACTTTTTTTTTTTTGAAACAGAGTCTCGCTTTGTTGCCCAGGCTAGAGTGAGTGCTATGGTGTCAGCCTAGCTCACAGCAACCTCAAACTCCTGGGCTCAAGCAATCCTACAGCCTCAGCCTCCCAAGTAGCTGGGACTACAGGCATGTGCCACCATGCCTGGCTAATTTTTTCTATGTATATTAGTTGGCCAATTAATTTCTTTCTATTTATAGTAGAGACGGGGTCTCATTCTTGCTCAGGCTGGTTTTGAACTCCTGATCTGGAGCAATCTGCCCGCCTTGGCCTCCCAGAGTGCTAGGATTACAGGCATGAGCCACCACGCCTGGCCAACTTTTTTGATACAAAGCCATAGTATGCATTTAAGGAAAATTCATACACTATTACTTTTTAAAATTGAAGATAAAAAATTTTCAGAGTGGTACGTTATATCCCTAGAATGCATTTTTCCTTACTTTCACAGTTTTATTTAATCTAATGAATTGCAGATGATCAATAGAAAGTACATTCTTTGTTACTGGCTAGCCAAGTCTTTGAACAACACCAGTTTTTACTAATACCCACAGATATTCTAAGGCACTGCTAAAAAGAGAATTGTTCAGGCATCATTTACTGTTTTTTTTTTGTTTGTTTGTTTTGTTTTTTAAGAGTTATGGTCTCACTGTGTTGCCTAGGTTGGCATTGAACTGAACTCCTGGGCTCTGGCAATCTTCCCTCAGTCTTCTGAGTAGCTGGGACTATGCCTAGCTATGATTTACTTTTTTATTTTATTTTATTTTTTTGAGACAGTCTCATTCTGTTCCTCAGGCTAGAGTGCCATGGCATCAACCTAGCTCACAGCAACCTCAAACTCCTGTGCTTAAGCAATCCTTCTGCCTCAGCCTCCTGAGTAGCTACAGTCATGTGCCACCATGGGACTACAGTCATGTGCCACCGTGCCTGGCTAATTTTTGCTATATTTTTAGTTGACCAATTGATGTCTTTCTATTTTTAGTAGAGACAGGGTCTCACTTTTGCTCATGCTGGTTTCGAATTCCTGACCTTGAGCGATCATCCCGCCTCGGCCTCCCAAAGTGCTAGGATTACAGGCGTAAGCCACCGTGCCCGGCCTATCATTTACTTTTGTAGTTTACATACAGTTGGGAGAATTAGACTGTAGTTTATATTTTCCTGAATTCATTTTTTTAAAATAAAGTTTCTCATTCTTCTCTTACTGTGTTATATTTTTAAGTATGTTTATTTTAAAATTTAAATTATAAGGAAGATGATTTTCTTATGATATATGTCTTCAGATGATTTTCTGTCTGTCTTACCAGAGTGAAGCCAAATATATTCTCCTACATGGGAACCAAAGATAAAAGGGCTATAACAGTTCAAGAGATTGCTGTTCTCAAGTAAGTAGAGAATCCATAACATGATTTGTACTATAAAAATACTAGCACTGCTTTTCAGAATTCTCAAATTTACTTTGTAGGTTTATCTCTTCCATTTTTAGATGGTACCTGTGCCTATTTAAAAATTACTTTTCTGTTTGTTTTTTTCTTCTTGTATTTCCTAATGTTTCTACATCAAACATGTATTATTTATGTAATTTTTAAAGGATTTTTGTGGTAGAGCCAAGAGTATAAGTGCTTCTTTCTCTATTTTGTTCATTCATTATTAAATATAGGTATGTTATTTAAATTTTAATTATAAAATAGTAAGTGAGCTCTTTTGTTACCAGAGATCTACAGATTAAAAAAGATGGTTTCTGCTTTTGAAGCAATTATAATTTAGTGTGGCAGACAGACAAATAAATCAAAACTTATCCTGCAGCGAGATAAATGCTGAAATAGATTATGCCTGTCGGCAAGCAAGGAGCTTGACATGGAGGGCAGGCAGGGAAAGCTTTCACAGAAAATGGGATGCTTGAGCTTAAATTTAGATCAGGGCTTCTCAGCCTCTGCACTATTGACTTTTTGGGCTGGAAAATTCTTTGTTGTGGGGACTATCTTGTGCATTCATTGTAGGATGTTTAGCAACAACTCTAGTCTCTACCAACTATGGAACAGTAGCAGCCCCTCTTCCCTTCTTAGTTATGATAACAGAAAACATCTCTAGACATTGTCAAATATCCTCTGAGAGGCAGAATTGCCCCTAGTTAGGAACCACCAGCCTAGATTCTGGAAGGATGAGTAGGAATTTCCTGAGGCTGGGGAAAGTCTAGGACTGTTTGTTCCAAACCAAGAAAACAGCTCATGAAAAGACATGGGAAAGCGCATTTGGTACCTGGCATGTACTTTAGTTTTCGGAAGTGTAGCAAGAAAAAAGGTTTGAGGGGTAGGCAGGATGTAGATCCTGAAGGGTGCTTTGGGTCTTGTTGAGGACCTTTGACTTGACCTTAATCTAAACAGAGGCAGTTGTGTGGAGGCTGGATCAGTGGTCACAGGCAGAGCAAGATGCATGAAACTGGAAACTAGCGCTATTGCCATGCTCTGGGGGGGAAGAACAGAGGTCTGAACCCACTCAGTCACAGTGAAGGTAAAAGGGAAGGATCAGTTTAATAGCTATGTGGCATCTGAAAAATTTAGGCTTTCATCTTACTGTACCTCCAGAGGTTAGGAGTGGTGGGAAAGAGAAATAACATAGGGACATAAAGTCATCTGTGTTTGCTATCTCCACTTAAATATATATATTTATTTCTAATTCTCCCAACTTTTCATGAAGAATTCGAGGTGTTATCTCCTCTTGCCCCCATAATCCAGTCAAGCTTCTTTCTCACCACTTTTCTGATTCACTTGAAATGATGTAGTGGTTGAGCTCTTGGTTGCATCTTAGTGGATTATTCCAGTCCTTTTCTTCCTTGACCATGGTGTAGTCGTAAAAGAAGAGTAAGAACATCTTCTCTCCATCGCTTTTTCTGGTGAGGTCTGCAAATGTTGATGTGTTTGAAAGAGAGCTAGAGGAGATGCTTGAAGGTGAACAGTGTTCCTACCTGGTGGCCTGGTTTCCTTTCCTCCCTGTGACTTCTAGCATATGGAGTTGTCTGCTGAGGGTGATGGGGCAGGAGGCAGGTAAGGGGATTTGAAAGGAATGTACAGGTTTGAAATAGCCTCTGGAGGGGACAGGCCAGTGGGCTCACCAGACACTCGAATGAATGAGAGTTGGGGGGATGGCAGTTTGAGGGTTAAGGCTTTCCTATACTCTGTGCATATAGGACACAACAGAAGGTTTTTGCCTTCTTTTGGTATCTCAAATGTTGCCATCAATTCCTGTGATTTCTGTCTGGCTCTGTGAATTTTTGTCCTGATAAGAAAGATAAGAACTAGGTAGAAGGCTGGGCGCCATGGCTCACGCCTGTAATCCTAGCACTCTGGGAGGCTGAGGCGGGCGGATTGCTCGAGGTCAGGAGTTCGAAACCAGCCTGAGCAAGAGCAAGACCCCGTCTCTACTATAAATAGAAAGAAACTAATTGGCCAACTAATATATATATATAGAAAAAATTAGCCGGGCATGGTGGTGCATGCCCGTAGTCCCAGCTACTTGGGAGGCTGAGGCAGAAGGATTGCTTGAGCCCAGGAGTTTGAGGTTGCTGTGAGCTAGGCTGACGCCACAGCACTCACTCTAGCCTGGGCAACAAAGCAAGATTCCATCTCAAAAAAAAAAGAACTACGTAGAAAATGAAAGTTCTGCCATAATTATATTCCCTCAGAGATCACCTCGTTCACAGTGTGAGATATATGTTTTTTGAGGGATCTTTTTCTCTTTCATACCAAAATGTTTATACAAAGTGTTCTTTTCACAGGAACAATAAATGATGTACCTCATTCTCTGTTTTTTTGTTGTTTTCTTTTTTGAGACAGAGTCTCGATTTGTAGCCCAGGCTAGAGTGAGTGCGATGGTGTCAGCCTAGCTTACAGCAACTTCAAACTCCTGGACTCAAGCGATCCTCCCGAGTAGCTGGGACTACAGGCATGCGCCACCATGCCCAGCTAATTTTTGCTATATATATTAGTTGGCCAATTAATTTCTATTTATAGTAGAGACAGGTCTCACTCTTGCTCAGGCTGGTTTCGAACTCCTGATTTGAGCAGTCCGCCCTCTTTGGCCTCCCAGAGTGCTAGGATCACAGGCGTGAGCCACCACACCCGGCCGAATATGAAATTCTAATGGTTTTTGTCTCTTTTTTTTTCATCTGCTGGTCAGAACAAAGAGAAATTTAATGGTTTTTGATAGCAAAGCCTAATTGCCCTGCAGAAAGTTGATACCAGTTACCACCTTTATTCCAGTTCCTCAGAATCCACCCCAGCATCCGGTTTTGGTTGGGAGATGGTGGAGTGGAAATCATTAGCTAATTTGAGGTCAAAAAATGGCATCTCTTCCTGTTCTGTATGTTTATAAAAAAAAAAAAAATGGCATCTCATTATTTTACTTTGCATTTTATGATGTGAAGTCTCTGAATATTTGAAGACTGAGGATTTTTCTTTCTTTTCTTGGTCAGCCAGCAGGTGTCATACTTGATCAGACGCTGTTCTGTCTTTACAGACTTTTGCTGCCTTTATGCCTTTATCATCTTCCTGTTGACTTAGTAAGAAACCATATTAGACACCTAAACGTTGGCCCTTTGAAAGGATGTAGCACTTATCTTGCGGATACAGGCTGCCACCCTTAGTCGGCTTAATGGATATGTGGGGCAGGGCAGAGTGGTTTTTTCCCGTGAGAACTAGTGAACAGGAGAAACACTCTGCCATGCAAGGATTTGAATGATTGCTGGATTGATTAATCCTGGGGATCAGCACTACTTCTTTTCAGCTTCATGTAACTCTAAAGCCACCTAGTGATTTTAACAGGATCTCAGACAGGAACATTCTCATTCAGAGTGATTTGTTTCTTTTCCTGCCTGTTCCTGCCAGTCTCCTTTCTGAGCGTGGGCCAGTACTTGCCTGGCTTTGTTAATAAAGGTTTTCTGTGCAACATGCTGCTTAGGTTGGCTCCGGATGTATAAAAGCAAGATTTTCATGTTCCCTAGTTTCACTGAATTTTCTGTGAATTTACAAAGAACTTTATTCTAGGATCATCACAGTTGCAACTGTGAACAGTGTCACAGAGACATCGTCAGCTTCCTTCCATGTTTTCTCAGGGGGCACCTGTACCAATAAGAATTGGTCATAGTTCTTTCTGCTGTGCCGGTGGGATTCAAAAGTAGATGTCTATCGTATATTCAAGAGTAGATAATATTATTCAGCCATAAAAAGGAATGAAGTACTGACTCATACTACAACATGGATAAACCTTAAAAACATGGCACTAAGAAGTTAGGCACAAAAGGCCACATATTGTATGATTCCATTTATATGAAATGTCTAAAATTGGGAAATACATAGAGACAGAAAATTAATGGTGGCCAGGGGCTGCAGGGAGAGGGAATAGGACTGACTGCTAAATAGCCATGGAGTTTCTTTTTGGGGTGATGGAAATGTTCTGGAATTAGATACTGGTGATTGTTTTATAACATTGTGACTATCACTAAAGTGTATACTTTATAACACTTAGGTGAATTTTATATTGTTAATTTTACCTCAAATTAAAAAAAAAGAATACCTCTGTCAGGTACTTCCATGGCACAATCAGGAAGCAGTCTCCAGGGAACTCTTCTCTGGGACAGCCAAGTTGCCTATTTGATTCCTTTTTGCTCCTGACTCTAAATTATTCTCTCAGTTTCTGTAGCAGTAGTTACTGACAAAAGAAGAGTTCTGTCCTCCTATTTCTCTTGCTGTTCATAGTAATCCTCTGCTTTCTGAATTCCTTGGGGCATAATTACTAGATTAGTTCATGACCTTGGGTCCTTCCATTGTCTCCATATATCTGAAGTCAAGGGCTTGGTGCCTCTCAGCCACTGCCTTAAGTCTGGACTGTACCTTCTTCACAAATCCTGTGGGGGTTTTTTTGGTTTGTTTTTGTTTTTTTTACACAGAGTCTTACTCTGTCACCCGGGCTAGAGTACAGTGGCATCATTCTAGCTCACAGCAGCCTCAAACTCCCGGACTCAAGCAATCTTTGCGCCTCAGCCTCCCTAGTAGCTGGGACTACAGGTGCTCACCGCCACACCTGGCTAATTTTTCTAATTTTTTGTAGAGTCGGGTCTCAGTCTTGCTCAGGCTGGTCTCGAACTCCTGACCTCAAGCAATCCTCCCTTCTCGGCTTCATAGAGTGTGCTAGGATTATAGGTGCGAGCTACTGGACCTAGCCTACAGACCATGTTTAGAGTTGTTCTAGATTGTGTTTGGCTCTAGGGTTGAACGGGGATGGGGGAAATGGAGTACAAGATTTGCCCATTTCCTAACTTCTCTGGCTAGCTCCTATATTTTATATTAATTAATGGGGTGATGATAATTTTTTTCGTTGAGAAAATTGA